TTTCTGGGTTTAATGAGGTTTTATGTTGCGCTTGATGTCATTGCTCCAGCTAGCGTGCACCGTCTCTCTCCAATAGGTTTTGCTTGTGCACATGAGAAGATAGGATGGAAACGGCTGCATAAGCGTGGAAGAGCTTGGAGTTGTCCTGAAGGCACTTGGTAGAACTCCGCAGCTTGGTCGCAAGTAGCCAAGGAGAAAGCGAGAAACGGAGAGTCTTTCCATGGTTTGTGCGATTCCTTTGATTTTTGTCTGAGTTTGTGTTTTGTATGCTATTAGATTGGAGGCCATGGCTCGTAGGTTGGAGGCATTTGCTAGTAGGTTGAAGGCGATTGCTATCAGGTTGGAGGCCATCACTAGTAGGTTGGAGGCCATCGCTAGTAAGTTGGAGGCCATCGCTACTGGGTTTGAGGCCATTGCTATTAGGTAGGACGCCATTGCTAGCAATCGCTAGCGATGGCCTCCAACCTCCAACTTACTAGCTATGGCCTCCAACCTACTAGCGATGACCTCCACCTTGAACTGAGTAATTGCACAACTCTTGAGAGAAAATGAAAAGAACATCCATTCCTCAATCCCTCCATCCACCCATCTATGCATCCCTCCATCCGTCCGTCCATGCAGCTGTCATTGCCTACCTTCGTCAGGGGCGCTTTCGGCGCGATAGCATGTAGAAATGGGTTTGACGTCAATTCCAAGTGCGTGGAATAAGTTATGTGCGGCAACCGTGCAACGACATGCTCAGAGTTCATCCCATGAAATGTTCGGGCTTCTAGGCGTTTAAGCAACTGCTAGGTGAGGAAGCCCTTGTCTTGTGAAACCGCTGTACCACTCGGCTGTTCTAGTCACTCGTAGGGATCACGCGCCTCCTGCAAAAGCAGTTGGTTTGTTGCAGGTTTGATTGTGTATTGTCTTGTACTGAAATTTTGCCCAACAACAAGGTTTGTGCGGGATAAGTAGTGCAGAATTACACCTTGCTGTTCTTGAAACACACAAGTTCCTTGTAAAACAAGAAACAGAAAATAAACCGTTTAATCAGAAGTGTTTGGTGTTCAGTGTTTCCCACAAAAATTGCATTTGGTCAGACCGAGGACTGAGGATGAGTTAAAAGCAATGATCGGCGAAGCTGATGAGGCACCTAACAAACAAAAGAAACGAGAAAGGTTGTGTGTTTCTCTTTTTATTTGTCCTGTCGTGTTTTTCTTTTTTTGATGTCTCTCTTTCAAGATTTTGTACTTTGATAGAGCACAGTGTCCTAGATCAGGAATATTTAACAGGTGATTGATGCCAGTATAGCATTTAGCAGTTGAGTGCAAGAAGCCTTCCAAAGCCTGTTTGTTGCTAGTAGTAGATACTTAGTAACTAAGACTAAACCCTAGCAGCCGTGGCCTCCAACCTAGTAGCGATGGGGAGTAGTGACCTTTTTGGAGGTGTCCAGCATAGTGTACTAGTAGCGTCCTTGCTCCTAGTAGTGATGCCAGCCCCTAGTAGCTTCTTGTTACTAGTAGTAAGGCACTTGTTACTAGAAGCGAGGCACTTGTTCCTAGTAGCGTCCTTGCTCCTAGCGATGCCAGGAGCCCCTAGTAGCGTCAAAGTAGGGCCTTCGAGCGACTAGTTCTCCTTCGCCTTCGAACCCTCCGCAGCAAGGACGGCAGTGGACAAATTGAGTTCCCGGAGCTGGTCCCTGAGATGACACGTCTTCCCAAACACCTTGGAAACACACGAAACAGAAAACTAAAAGGTTTGAAGGCAATTGCTTCTAGGTTGGAGGCCATTGCTATTCGTTAAGACTTCAAAGTGGAGTCCTGTGAAATTTGCTTCAAAAGGGGTTGGAACACGGATCATGTCATTTCATAGATGTCGGTGCAAAGTTTTGCGATGGCCGGCAATTCAAGAATCGCCAAAAGAATTATATGCCCGAACTGGTTGGCCAAGTCCAAGTCCAAGTCTAGCCCGGCAAAAGCATTCACAAGAAATTCTTGAATCCTGTCATTTGTGGCCGTTTCGCTCTTAGGTTGGAGGCCATCGCTATTAGCAAGGATGCTAGTGGTAGCTCATGGCATCGCTACTAGTAACAAGAAGCTACTAGGAATAAAGGGCATCGCGACGCTCTTGGGTTGGAGGCCATCGCTATTACGCTTAATAGCTACTCAAAAAGGAAAATGAACTTCCATCGACATCGTGCCTGATTCTCTGTTGAATGTTGGCACTGTCTTTTTCCGTGAAATGTTACATTGATCGAGACCGTGCTCACAACCCCAGAGATCAGACCCCTTTCGCCAACACTTCCCAAGGACGCTACTAGGAGCAAAGGGCATCGCTACTAGGAGCAAGGACGCTACTAGCTCACAACTCTTCTCATTTGACCTCTTGACTGTCGATTGCGATGTTTCCGGGAACCACTTGCGGCGGTGTTCTCGATGCCTGAGGTTCTTAAAGCTGATGGCTGCAAAGCTTCACGACATGGATTCTGTGGAGGAAAAGAGAACAGAGAAAGATTCGATTTTGAGGTGATAAAAAAATTGGAAAACAACAAACAAAGCAGATATAGCAGAGAACAAGCACTTTCTGGAGCCAGAAAAGTTGGTTGCTAGGAGCTGCAGGAGGCCTTCTCTGTCTTTGACCGTGACAAAAGTATCTTGGTGGAAACAGAAATCCAGAAAGGATGGAAAGGATGTAAAAGAATGGAAACAGGCGGAGGCCATCGCTACTAGGTTGGAGGCCATTCCTATTAGGTGAAAAAAGATGGGCGTGAAGAGAGAGTTCCCAGGTGGCCGTGTCACAGCCAGTGAGCTAAAGCACGTGCTCAATAGCCTTGGTGAGAATGCCGAAGCCTTGGAGTTCGATCGTTTCACTTTTGCCCGCTCCCTTCCCCTCCCTACTCATAAGAGGCGCCAACTTAATTAAGTAAGGGAGAGGTAGCTAGTACCTTATTAGTATGCTACTACCTAGGATGCAGGATAGTTCACGCTATTCATTTGGTTCCTAGATTTGTTTGGGAAACTTAACTTGTGTGATGCAGTTCCATGTGAATCCTGAGCGTTTCTCCGCCCCAGCTACTAGCGCTACTAGGTCACCAACGCTGAGATTGAGGAGATGATCACTGAGGACGGGACGAAGTCGGACGAAGCCAGCTGCGAGTTGTGACTTCAATTCCAGTGGTCAAAAGCAAGGACTTCATCAATTCCTAGGCTCAATAGCTACTAGTAGCGTCCTTGCTACTAGTAGTGCACCTTGTTACTAGTAGCTTCTTGCTACTAGTAGTAATGCCCTTGAGTTTCAATTCAGTTGATAAAGTTGGGACTTTGTAGTTGACCCGGAAGTTTGGGCACTCGTGTCCACGAAGCATTTGTGTCCACCGGTCATGCGTCATGCGGTCAGGCGGACATTGATGGTGACGGAGAACTGAGCCTTGATGATTTTATTCAGCTGGAAAGCTCAGTTACGGCGTTCCGCAGGCACTCCAAGTTCATCCAAGTTCAAGTGAAACAGCTCAACCAAAGCAGAAAAAGGCTTTGTAAGTCCTATATGTCTTTAGCTGGAATGCTTTTTTCTTGCTGAGGTTTGTTCAGCTAAAGAGCCTCAACTCCAGGCACCACTAGTTTTTCAGCGCCAGGGACACTCGGACAGGACAGGACTCAGTTGCTTTTCTTTGAGCTTTGTTCTTCAAACGTGTCATGAACAAGGACGCTACGAACGTAAGAAAGGGCATCGCTACGAACAGAGCGATCGGACGCTACTGGGGGCTCCTGGCCGTACTACTAGTAACAAGAAGCTACAAGGGGCTCCTGGCCTTACTACTAGGAGCAAGGACGCTACTAGGGGCTCCCGGCCTTACTACTAGGAACAAGAAGCTACTAGGGAGGCCATTGCTTCTAGTATGGAGGCGTCATGAAAGCTTGGTTTGGTCCCGAAAAGGCCGATGTGAAGTTGTTGGCCGCAACCCTTGTGGAAATGTTTGAACTGAAAAATAAAGTAATAGCTTTATTGCTCCTAGTAGCGATGCCCTTGCTTCTAGTAGCTTCTTGTTCCTAGTAGCAAGGCCAGGAGCGCCCCTAGTAGCGTCCCTGCTCCTAGTAGCGCCAAGGCCCTTTGGCTCAATCACATACTTCATTGCGAACAAGACTCTGTATTTGTGCTAGTATGGGGCATTCTATAGAGCAGAGTTGCCAGCCAGGAACTCTTCTCTAAAGAGTCAAAGATCTAAGAAACACAGACTCAATATACTACTGTAAATTAAAGTACATGAACTGTGACTCACTCCACACCAGCTACAGACAACTACGATCCAGAGATGGAAGCAAAAGACATTGGCCTTAGGTTGGAGGCCATTGCAAGTAGGTTCTTCTTCATTAACGTCCTTCGAGCTGTTCCACCGATATGAAGATATAAAACAGGATCCAAGGCAGCCCGACACGCCTCAACGGGAAAGGCCAACCTTTGCCCATCGCTTTGAACTAATAGTGAAACAAAAGTGTGCTGTGGAGCAGTCAGTGCAGGAAAAGAGATGCGGGTTTCAAAACTTGAGCCTAACATTGCATTCCGGAAAAAAAGTCGTACGTGAACGAATGGCTTCCTAGTGGGATGGACGTGAACATGACACCGTGCTAGGCAACCATGATGCCGCGATGTTTCACACAAGACGTCTCGTTTGGGGTCTGTGACGAGGCCTAGCCTGTGCGGCTTCGAAAGAATGCGCAACATGGTGAGATGGACGTGATTGGACGTGTTTCCTGCTGAGCCTGACACATTCTTTGCAGCTCACCATGGTGGTAAACGTGTTATTGGGCTCAAGCATTTGACAACATACAAGAACGAAGCCAGGTGTGCAAAAATCTGTATAAAAAAACTTGGTGGGAGGCATTTGCAAATTGTCTTGGCAAGAGAATAGCATCTGTACTTCGATCACTGAAGAATCTGTCGTTCCGATCACTGGAAGTAGGCAATCAAGAGCAAGCAGGAGCAATCAAATCGGAAGCTGGAATTCAAGTGAAGCAGGTTCTCTTTGCTGTTGCGAGCATGTGAGCAACACGAGCTTGCACACTTGCGCAGCATGTTTGCTGTGAAAGCTGCAAATGTGCGGTTGCTTTGGCCTTTGGCTTTTGCAAAAATTTCATGAGTTTCGCAATTCGCTGCTGCATTGCTGAGACATGGTCCCAACCTCAGAATAGACGGGAACAAACGCTTGATGGTGAAACGGGTCCACTCCGTTTGATATCCAGGTGTTCGGCTCAAGTCTGCATGACCAGATGCAGAAAAGCCCAAGCACCCCAAGCCCACCCGACGTCAGAACTGCCAAGGCTTTTCCTGCATAACATGTTCAAACACCCTCCAACCTAATAGTTCGCCTGCGACAGTTTCATCAAGGATGCTGGATCCACCCAGAAGATTTTGCGCTATTAGGGGCTCCTGGCATCGCTACGAACGGAGCGATCGGACGCTACGAACGGGGCTCCTGGAACGACGAAAGACCGCCGGTTTCTTCGCACCATGGACCTTGGGTCGGAATGTGTGAAAAGGATTTGGATCTCTATGGTTAAATCCTTCTGGGGAAATATGTGGGTTTTTCCAGCTTCCTTAAGCAAATCCAAGTAGCGATGGCCGCCAAAGTAAAGACAGCCTGGCTGCTGGCTTGGAAGGTCCTGATATAGGAGCTTCGACCACATATTGTGAGGGATTGCCTTCAAGAGGTTCTGCCAAAAGAGGAGGGCCAGTAGCTGCAGGAAATTGCCAACATGAACTGCGAAGGAGTGGAAGGTATTCTAGCGTTCAATGGTCCCTCTGTGTTTGTTGAATAGGAAAGGGATGCAAAAAGTAACTCTTGTATGTGTATGTAAAATTATAGATCATGAAATTACGATCCAAGTAAGTGTCGATTGAAATCTTCATCTTTTGAAGCGGTTGTCATGAAATTTCCGCTGGACATTCCATGTGCTGTTCGCGTTGGATGGCCCTAAGTGGTTGGGACAGCCAAGGGCTATGGCATGCACATTGTTCCAGGTCGATAGGTAGCATCTCTTGGATGATGGGCGTATTAGCCAACCAGTTTGGTGTGAGATGGAAGCTGCCCAAGCTGAAGCTAACGAGCACATAAAGCATCGGTGCGTAACAAGACTACAGCTCCAACCAGATGCCTTTGTTGGTTGTTGTTGCGGCAATTATAAGAGGTTTACTTGCCGACATTGCTCCAAATGGAAGGGCGCGAAGAAGAATTGAAATAAAAGCCTACAAGGAGAAGTTCGGTAAAGAAGCTTCGTCTGTGTGCGTGCGGCGCGGAGAGGTTGGCAACCCATGGGCTGGGCTTTACACTTGTCAGGGCGGGGATAGCCCTCGGTTAGGAAAGGCTCTTAATGGTGGAGCCGTCGCTACTAGGGTAGAGACCATCGCTACCAGGGTGGAGGCCATCGCTATTAGGTTGCGAGGTTGGAGGTCAGCGCCACTGATTTTGGAGGCCATTGCTTCTAGGTTGGAGGTGATCGCTACTAGGGTGGAGACCATCGCTAGTAGGGGCTGCAAGAGCATCAGTCAAGGTTGAAGGCTCAGCAAATTGGACTCCCTAGTAGCTTCTTGTTACTAGTAGCACGGCCAGGAGCCCCTAGTAGCGTCCTTGCTCCTAGTAGCGATGCCAGGAACCCCTAGTAGTTTCTTGTTACTATACTATTTATTGTGCTGATGTTTGGTGGGCACCCACTTTGGTGTGGGCAAACAGAAGCCTTGGCTGAAGAAAGGAAAATCAAAGCATGTATTTGATGACCAAGTGAGCCAGAAGATGGCACGCTGTTCAGAAGATGGTTCCAACCCAGCGAAGATTGGCCGAGTTCAAAGTCCCATCGAGGAACTTCCGGCCTTAAACACTTGTCTTCAACATGTTTGACACCTCATCCTTGAGTGAACGAAACGCAGCCGGTCAATTCGTTTCGTGCGATTGCTAGCCTAGTTACTCAGTTGCACTTGCATTGAGGCCCGCAGAAAGCGGTATTGTTTCTAAAGGTGGTACTGGTGTCATGTACTTTCGAGGCAGCGAGCGAACTCTATATATATATATGTAATGCATCCACTGTTTACAGATGCAATGGCAGCAGAGGCTACGAATCCGCTTCGAAAAGTTCCCCCTGGACCTGGCCGCAAAAAGAAAAGGCTGGCAGAGACAGGTTAAAGCCACATGATTTCTTGCACTGCTGCGCAGGGATAAAAGCTTTGAGTACAACCTGTGGATTGGCAGCACAGTCCGACCCCAATAAACAGTTTGTCCTTGGATCAACGTGCAAAAGTCAGCCCTAATTGAGGCGTGCGTTGTTCTTGTTGGCTGTGTCAGAACCTCATTTGTTAATTTATTCTGTGCTTTGGCTGTCAAAGGAAGGAATAAATTTGAATAGAAGCGTCCGGCTTTCTGATAGCGAGGAATGTGACAATGTTTTGGATTTGTTGCGTAGTCCTCAGGCCATAGCCTTGTTCGCTCCTAGCGCAGGCCAAGCTCAAGTCTCGCTGCCGTCCACGCGCACTTTTGGTCAAATGGATTTGGATGAAAAGTAGCTTAAGAGCTGCAGACATTCGACTCTGTAAATTCAGCCATTAGTGGGCAATGTCTTATGTACGCAGTTTGTGATGCGAACGAGGTGAAATACGCCAAATAACATGGGGAAACAGCGGCGGCGGAGAGTGTGAAAAAGTGTCGATTTGGGTGTCTTCGTGACGAGGAGAACGTCAGAGGGTAGACGTGGATGTTGGGGAGGTAGATGGGATAAAAGCAATGCTCGAGAAGATAGAGAATCCACTCTACGGGCTCTTTTCTCGGTTGGAAGGGCGGGGACTCTGTGTCGCTTGCAGGTCGATGGACAGCTGGATGGAAGGGATGTGGATAGCTGCGTGTAGAGCTGGAAAGGTTGCTGACAGAAAGACAAGTGGGGGAGATAGGACGATAGAGATATGGAGAGGTTCCGAGAAGAGAAGTATAGATGGCCTCCAACCTACAAGCGATCGCTATCTATCAGACACACTTTCCTCTTCTGTCCATCCATCCAGCTAGCCAGCCAGCCCACCCGCCCGCCCCAAGCGGCACAGAGTCCCCGAGAAAGTGAATCCCAGTGTCCAGCCAATGGACTGACATGATTTCGATCTGCGCGCATCAATTGCAGCTGGAAGCATTAAGTATAGTCCATTGATGTAGCTAGATGCCTGAAAAGTCTCAATGGAAGCACTGGGCGCTTAAAGGTGAATCGACAGCTTTTATTGCCATCGCTCGCTCGCGGTTGGGCCATGAAGCCCTCAAAAAAACACCAAAAAACGCAGCTAGGTCTCACAACCTACACACAGTTGGAGGCCATTGCTACTAGGGTGCAGGCCATCACTTGTAGGTTGGAAGCCATCACTAGTAGGTTGGAGGCCATTGCTACCCGGGTGGAATTGGGAGATAGATGGAGAGATAGAGAGATTACAAGACAAAGGTAAATGACTGGCTAGGTGGGTGAGTGGATGGATGGAAGGGTAGAGAGTGTGAGAGAGGTTGCGCAACAGCCAGAACTGCAGACACTGGCTTTCGTATCCTCCCTTCTCAGGTTTGGAAACGAGTCGAAGGAAGTGTAGCTTCTTGTTACTACTAGTAAGGCACTTGTTACTACTAGCGTGGCACTTGGTAGCGATGCACTTGTTACTAGTAGGTTTAAGGAGTTGCGACTTTGGGGTTAAGCGGCCAAAATGTAAGTACAACGCTTCAAGGTTACTTCGAAACAAGCCTGGAATGGATCCCAGTTCAGTTGCCGTCAAAGGGCTAGATGCGTCGTGATTTCCGTTCACTTGTAGGTCCATTCACACATTGTACGTATGATAATAGCTTCTTGTTACTACTAGTAAGGCACTCGTTACTAGTAGCGATGCACTTGCTCCTAGTAGCTTATTGTTTCTAATAGCTTCTTGTTACTACTAGTAAGGCACTTGTTACTA